ACTGAGCACATCATCTAAACCAGGAGGTAAAATGGATAAGAATTTAAGCACTTAAAGAGGATAAGAGATGACGGACGAATGGCCTCTTAAACATTAAGGTAGCTTGTTGTAAGCCGATAGAGGCAGAAATAAAATTAGAGAGGGGAAATAATAGAACGTACATTTTTATAGAATAAACAAAAATACCGTATTTTTTGGAGTATAAGATGCACCGGACTATAAGACGCACCTACTTTTTTGGGTGAGGAAAAGAAGAAAAAGAAATCTCCCTTTGCCTCTCAGCAATTTTGCCTTGTTGCAGCAAACAGCAAACAGCCTGCTTTACTTTCATTTTCGTTTTCAGCATAGCTTGATTAGCACAACGAAAAAAAATCTGCTCAAGCAATTTATCTCTTTGCAGCAAGCAGAAGAGCCCTGCGCAGAACAGTTGAGAGCAAATCAGCTGAAAGTCAGGTGGCCGATCCAATCAACTTGTGCTAATTAGCCTGTGCTGAAGCTGAAAGGAGCTGTTTTTTCTTGCTGCTTGCTGCAAGGAGGTAAACTGCTGCAAGGAGGTAAACTGCTGCAAGGAGGTAAACTGCTGGGAGGCAGAGGCCAAAGGGTGGGAGTCAGTGGGTGGGCAAGGCTACATTCGGTGTATAAGACGCACCTAAATTTTCACGCCCTTTTAGGGGGGAAAAAGGGGCGTCTTATACTCCGAAAAATACAGTAATAGATAGAAAGATTAGAGGTTTACAGATGGTCTGCTAGGCATTTTTTGGTTGTTGTTTAAATAATATTATGAGGACCTGAGTTTGATAAATGTGATAAAGATTACCAATATTGTTATTGTAATATGAATAGAATAAATAAAAATAATAGATAGAAAGATTAGAAGTTTGTAGATGCTAGGCATTTCTTTTCATGTTTGTTTATACAATAGAAAGAAGATTACTCAGATTTGATAAATACGATAGAGATTATTAATATGGTTACTGTGAATTGGATTAATATGATACCCAGAACCAACTCTGTTTACCCACAATATGGATGTATATTCCTTGTGTGTCCAATCACACTTGGCCGATAAAAATTCTATTCTATTCTATTCTATTCTGTTCTGTTCTGTTCTGTTCTGTTCTGTTCTGTTCTGTTCTGTTCTGTTCTATTCTATTTTTTTAAAAAATAATAAAAAATATATTAAAAATAAATAAATAAACCAGGAGTTTGAGAATTAACCAGTGGAACGGTTTGTCTTCAGAAGTTGTGGGTGCTCATTGCTGGAGGCTGTTAAGAAGACATTAGACATCCATTTGTCTGGAACGGTAGAGGGTCTCCTGCTTGCGCAGGGAGCTGGACTAGATGAACTCCAAGGCCCCTTCCAACTCTGCTATTCTATGTTTACCCTTCCTTAGAGCCTCCTTCTCTCTTTCCTCCTATCGGCAAGGCTTCTTGGGAGAAACAGCAAATAAATATGAAAAGGATTTGATAGACGTATTTGGTAATGCCTTACTACCAGCTTGATCCCAAGAACATGGTTTAGAAATAAACCCAGTTTCTGTGCTTTCCTTTGATCTCCTACCACCAGAGGGCAGCCAAGCCAAGCCCACACGTGTCCGTTACCCCCAGACAAAATTCAAAATTCCTTATGAAATCCCATAATGTAAGGACAGTCCAGGGAATGCTGGGAAATTTTAAAAGATGGTGTGGTGTGGCAGCTCTGGGACCTTCCCGGGTGGCGTCTTACAACGAGTCTAGGAACCAGTCGTAGAAGGTGGCGTGCTGAGGAACCACAAGAGCCAGGAAGTAGTGGGAACATCGTGATATGAGAGACCTCCTAGCACAGGGGTGTCAAACTCGATTTCATTGAGGGCCGCATGAGGATTGTGTTTGAACTCGAGGGAGCGGGGGCGGGGCTGGATGGAGTGGGCATGGCCAGGGGGCGTGGCCAGCTTGAGGTCATTCATCGAGGCCCCATTTTCAGCCGCGACGGCCTCCTGCAGCCATCTGTCAGCTAAAACGGAGCCCAGGGGGCTATGTGCAAGAGAAGGAACATGTAAATCAGGGGTGTCATACTCAAGGCCGTGAGGGGCAAGATCCAGTCGACGGGGTGCTTAGATCTGTCCCACCGGCCCACCTTGGAAACAGTGGACCAGCCTGGAGTGCCTCTGCCACTAAAAACAGAGCCCAGGCAGGCCCGTGGCCTCCCCAAGCTCCGTTTTTGCTTACAGAGGGCTGCAGAAGGCCATCACGGATGAAAACAGGGTCTGGGAAGGCTGCATGTGGCCCTCCCAAACTCTGTTTTCGCTGGCAGAGGCACCACGGGCTGGTCCTTCGCTGTTTCCAGGGCAGTCCCATGGATCAGATCTAAGCACCCTGCAGGCCAGATTTGGCCCACGGGCCTTGGGTTTGACACCCCTATCCTAGCATGTCAAATAACGGATTTGGGAATGACAGAAAAACTCAAGAAAATAACAGACTTGAGAGGGAAGGTTAATGTCAACTCGCAAAGCATCCCTGGCCTGCTCTTGAGTTGCCATAGGCCAGATGGGGATGGGAAACCGGCAAAACAGCATGGCAGCCAAAGACAGATGCACATTCCAGACTCATCTCTCTCAAGGCTATATCCCAGGGTTACTCATAGCAGCCGGAGGGGAGTGACCGCTACAACCCTGTGAAATTGCTCCATTGGTAAATGTAATTGATGACACACCCTCGGGGGACGGGGGGGAACAGGGTCAGAGCTGGAACATAAATTACATGGGGTCAGAGTTGGCTTCACTTGGCAGATGCCGACGTGAAGCTCCTAATAAATAACTGGATTTCTTTTGAAGCTTGGCTCGAGGCTCATGATTTAATTAGGGCATCCATCAGAACCCTGACAGCTAGCCTGTTAGGAAAGAAAAAGAGGAAACTTTGTTCCAAACAAATGTGGTGAGGAGGCCTAATCGTTTTCTGCAATCTGCTTGCCCTCAGGAGTCCCACAACTTCCAAAGAAATTGAGGAAGGACATTCATTATTCAGCTCCGAGGAACAGGTTGAGGCACAGCTACGATCTCAAGAAGCTCAGAGCGATGAAAAATGTTTTGAATGAATCACAAGTTTATGCCATGAACCCAAAACCACAAGCAGGTTTCCCGCTGAAACATCCTGCAAGACTTGGTAGCTCCAATTTGTTCCAGCAGACGAATCCCACGCTTATTAATTTTTTTTCCTCCCAACCTTAATTGTGATCTTTGGTTGAATCCCATTGGGTTTTTAATGGAAAAGTACTGATGCCTTGCTTGCTTTTTAAGCACGATTGTAAGCTCGCTTAGAACTCTTTAAAATCCAAAGAAAGGAAAGCTCTAAATATTTCAGATAGGGATACAGTGGCTCAGTGGCTAAGATGCTGAGCTTGTCGATCGAAAGGTCGGCAGTTCAGCGGTTCAAATCCCGAGTGCTGCGTAAAATGCAAGTAGAAAAATAGGGTCCACCTTTGGTGGGAAGGGAACGGCGTTCCATGTGCCTTTGGCGTTGAGTCATGCCGGCCACATGACCACGGAGACGTCTTCAGACAGCGCTGGCTCTTCGGCTTTGAAATGGAGATGAGCACTGCCCTCTAGAGCCGGGAACGACTAGCATGTATGTATGAGGGGAACCTTTACTTAAATATTTCAGGAGCAAATGAGCTGTGCCGGAGATTCTTCTGAATGCTTGAAATAGATTTCCTTGGCATCATTTATTTCTTTATGTATTTATTAAATTTATAGGCCACCCATCTCACAATTAAAAAGCAACTCCATGCTTTGCTACGGGGAGGGGCAAGAAACACCGGCTATGCCAAAGTCATACTCAGAACCTGACTAAGGTGGCTCAGTGGCTAAGACACTGACCTTGTTGATCAGAAAGGTCGGCAGTTTGGTGGTTCGAATCCCTAGAACAGGTCTCCTGCATGAGCAGGGGGTTGGGCTAGATGACCTCCAAGGTCCCTTTCAACTCTGTTACTGTTCCATTTCAAAGTTGATCAATGGCTTTCAGCCATCTCATTGCATACACAGAAATGGGGAATCTAATACATAACTAGTGACCCACAATTTCTTCCATGGATTAATGGGTGGACAATGAACAAAAACGAAACAAACTCACATTCTGGATTATGCACTAAGAAAGAGAGGATGGTCGATGGGTTGTATTGAAGAGTAGAGTAGAGTAGAGTAGAGTAGAGTAGAGTAGAGTAGAGTAGAGTAGAGTAGAGTAGAATAGAATAGAATAGAATAGAATAGAATAGAATAGAATAGAATAGAAACGAAACTTTATTGTCACTTTGAATGTACACTAATCGGCATACATTAAAGTGAAATTTCATTGCATACAGCTCTCAAAGGGTCACCACCTCCAATATACACTGCATAATATAACAGAATACATAAATACAGATAAATGCAGAGTCTAGTTCGGTTGTATACCAGTACATGGTAAGAAAAACGAATCTTGAGAGTTTACCAGACGGATGGCCTAGGGAACAAAGCTGTTACAGAATCCGGTAGTCCTGCTAGAAATACTTCAAAAACTCCTCCCAGAAGGGAGCAACAGAAACAGGCCGTGAAGTGGGTGGGTGGGGTCTTAATGAATGCAACACTACATAAGATTCTTGATGAATGTGTCTTTTTCTTTTTATGTACACTGAGAGCGTATGCACCAAGACAAATTCCTTGTGTGTCCAATCACACTTGGCCAATAAAAGTTCTATTCCATCCCATCCCATCCCATCCCATATTCTATTCTATTCTATTCTATTCTATTCTATTCTATTCTATTCTATTCTATTCTATTCTATTCTAAATTCAATAAAGGTTGATGGTCGAATGATGAGGCTCTAAGGCAAAACAGTTGGTCATGGAGAAATTGAGGAAAGGCCCCGTTCCCATTGAAAAGGATGATCAAAGCAACTGTCCACATGGGCTTTCGCCCCTTCCTCCCTCCCTCCCTCCCTCCCTCCCTCCCTCCTCCAACATGGACCCCTTCAAGGTCTTACATACCAGACCACTCGTCCACCCAGGCGAAGGCTTGGCGATGCCCGATGAGTAAAATATCTCGAATGACCTGGAACCCAAAATCCTGTTACTGGCATTGCAAGGATTGTCCAAGCAAATTCCACACAGCAATTCCCCCCCCCCAATCGTCAATAAGTCTGAGCCAGAAATTTTGCTGCAGCTGTCAAAAAAACCCCAACACAGTCATCAGGCTGCATCAACAGAAGGATAGTATCAAGGTCACGTGAATTGTTCGTACCGCTTTATACTGCTTTGGTGAGACCAGCCTTGGAATACTGCCTCCAGTTTTGATCAACAAACACATGACAAAAAAAAAAAAAAAAGTCAGAACTCAAAGCAGTGGTGAAATGTAAAATTTCTTACTACCAGTTCTGTGGGCGTGGCTTGGTGGAGGGGGGAGTCATGTGACTGGGTGGCCGAAGAGGTTGTTGAAAAAATTCTTTTAAAAGCCTCTGACGATCCCAGCTGAGTTGCCTGATCCGAGCCTCGTCAGAGGCTTTTAAAAGCATTTTTTTCAACCGAAGGCAAAAATCAAACTGCCCCCCTGTGGGCGTGGGCCCAGTAGTGGGATTCAAGTAACTTAACAACCGGTTCTCTGCCCTAATGGTTTCTTCCAAAAACCAGTTTGCCAAACTGCTCAGAAAGTTAATAACGGGTTCTCCTGAAGTGGTGCGAACTGGCTGAATCCCACCATTGCGTCAGCCCCATGTTGGGACTTCCTTCACACCCTTCCTTCCTCTCATTATATTCTCCTTCCTTCCTTCCTTCCTTCCTTCCTTCCTCCTTCCTTCCTTCCTTCCTTCCTTCCTTCTTCCTTCCTTCCTTCCTTCCTTCCTTCCTTCCTTCCTTCCTTCCTTCCCCCCCGAGCTCCATTTTCGCTAGCAGAGGGCTGCAGAAGGCTGTCGCGGCTGAAAATGGAGCCCTGTGGTGCCTCTGCCAGGAAAAACGGAGCTCAGGAGGGCCGCACCACAAGCCGGTCCTTTGCTGTCTCCAGGGTGGCCTCATGGGCCAGATCTAAGCACCCCGTGGGCTGGATCCAGCCTTGAGTTTGACATCCCTGGCTTATGTGGTATCTCCCGGCTAAAAGGGAGTGAACTGCCAATAATCTTTTCTGCCGTCCTCACCACTCTCTGCACCGCCTTCCTGTCCGAAGCAGTAAGGCTTTCAAACCAGACTCTACTGCAATATGACAAGATGCTCTCGATCGTCCCTGTATAGAAAGTGGTAAGGACAGGGGAAGGAAGTTGTACTTTTCTCATGCGATGCAGAAAATACAGGTACTGCTGTACCCACTTTAAGAAGAGACTGGACACCCATTTGTCTGAAGGGGGTTGGACTAGAAGACCTCCAAGGTCCCTTCCACTGCACTGCTTCCGCCATTGAAGCCAACAGGGAGATGATTAACTGGCTGAGGAATTCTGAACAATGAAGACTACAAGTCTAAAAATTTGCCCAGTTTGGACACCCCCGATATATAGCATTCCTAGATTCCCTGCCGTGCCTGTTCCTTGATTTGGTCTACCTCCAGGGCTGACAGCATGTGCTAACCCTTTTCTGATTTTCTGTCAAGGTTGCCTGATGCTATTTGTGGCACTATGGCACAGTTTCCTTACTTGGCTTTGAGGGCGGGAGGCATATGGTGTTTTCCTCCCAAAATATGAAGCCATCCAAAGCCCTCTTCTAAACTGCGGCATTAAATCCAACATTTTCTACCTTGTTTTTGCTGCGTGAGTGAGATGGGCATTTGCAGCCGTCTGGATCAGTGGTGGGTTGCTCCCGGTTCTGTCCAGTTCTATAGAACCGGTAGTAAAATCGGACACCCGGACATCATAAATGACAATCTGCGCATGTGCACAAGCGTGTGTGTGCCTGTGAAGCGTGCGCACAAATGCCCCTGTTACGAACCAGTAGTAAAGGCAAGTAGCACCCACCCCTGGTCTGGATGTCACAAAACCACAACTCTGAACATCCCTCACCTCCAACCAAGCGGGCCAAGGCTCTGAGAGTTGTAATCCAGCAACATTCAGGGCAGTGGTGAAATCTAAAATTTGTTACTACTGGTTCTGTGGGCGTGGCTTGGTGGGGTGGGTGGGTAATGTGACTGGGTGGGTGTGGCCAATTTTTTTCCTTTTAAAAAATGCTTTTTTTCTTTTAAAAGCTGAATTGCCTGATCGTCAGAGGCTTTTTTTTCTTTTAAATGCCTCTGACGATCCAAGCTGAGTTGCCTGATCGGCAGAGGCTTTTTTAAAAAGATGCTTTAAAAGCCTTTGAGAAAATGCTTTAAAAGCCTTTGAGGATCCCAGCTGAGCCACGCGATCATCAGAGGCTTATTTTTTTTAACTTTTAAAAGCATTTTTTTCGGCCAAAGAAGTTGTAGAAAAAATGCTTTTAAAAGTAAAAAAAAAAGCTTCTGAGGATTGTGCGGCTCAGCTGGGAATAGGGGTGGGGGGTGGGGCAGGGGTTTTTGCTACCGGTTCTCCAAACCACCCGCCTCCATTGCTACCGGATCGGGTGATCTAGTGCAAACATTTCACCCCTGATTCAGGGGGTTGCCCATTGCCGTTCTTGGCTGCAGAACCAAACATGACCACTTTATGGAGGAAGACTGAGGGAAGCATCCAACCCAAATACAGGCTGAGTTTAAAATGGACAGCCAGAGACCATTGTTCTATAGTGTTTTTCCTGTAAAACAAACAGACAAACTCTAGGATCATTCTCTCAGAAGATAACATCCTATTAATGAAATCTCCAAACAGAACTACCGTATTTTTGGAGTATAAGACGCACCTACCTTTTTTGGTGAGGAAAACAAAACAAAACAAAAAAAAGAAACCTGCCTCTGCCTCTGAGCAATTTTGTCTCGTTGCAGCAAACAGCAAACAGCCTGCTTTACTTTCATTTTCGTTTTCAGCATAGCTTGATTAGCATAAGGGAAAAAAAAAATCTGCTCCCGCAATTTACCTCCTTGCAGCAAGCAGCAGATGCTGGTGCAAAACAGCTGAGAGCAAAACAGCTGAGAGTCAGGAGGCCGATCCAATCAACTTGTGCTAATTAGGCTGTGCTGAAGCTGAAAGGAGCTGTTTTTTCTTGCTGTTTGCTGCAAGGAGGTAAACTGCTGGGAGGCAGAGGCCAAAGGGTGGGGGCCAATGGGTGGGCAGGGCTACATTTGGTGTATAAGACGCACCTAAATTTTCACCCCCTTTTAGGGGGGAAAAGGGGCGTCTTATACTCCGAAAAATATGGTAGTTGCTTGGTGTGCCAAGAACAATATTTGTGTGCAGAGAAGAGCAACCAAAATGATAAAGACCTTGAGGCTAAAGCATATGATGAACAGTTGAGGGAGCTAGGTATGCCTAGCCTATTGGATTAACTATCTTCCAGTATTTGAGGGGTTGCCACAGAGAGGAGGGGGTCAAGCTGTTTTCCAAGGCACCTGAAGGCCAGACAAGGAATAATGGATGGAAACTGATCAAGGAGAGACTCAATCTAGAAATAAGGAGGAATTTTCTGACAGTGAGAACAATCAACCCATGGAACAGACGTTGCCTTCAGAAGTTGTGGGAGCTTCATCACTGGAGGCTTTCAAGAAGAGACTGGACTGCCATCTGTCAGAAATGGTGAAGGGTCTCCTGCTTGGGCGGGGGGGTTGGACTGGATGACCTACAAGGTCCCTTCCAACTCGGTTAATCTGTTAAAACTGCCACAAAGAAGAGAGGGTCAACCTATTCTCCAAAGCACCTGAGGGGCAGGACAAGAAGTAATGGGTGGAAGATCATTAAAGAGAGATCCAACCTAGAACTAAGAAGAAATTTCCTGAGAGTTAAGAATCAGTGGAATGGCTTTGCCTTCGGAAGTGGTGGTTGCCCCCATCATTGGAAATTTTCAAGAGACTGGACAACCATTTGAATGGCATGGTATAGGGCTCCTGCCTTGAGCAAGGGGATGGACTATAAGACCTCTGAGGTCTTTTGCAGATAATTCAGCCCCCCAAGCACCTGAATTTTGATCATGTGACTGTGGGGATGCTGCAATGATCCTAAGTGTGAGGACTAGTCATAAATTCCCTTTTTTCAGTCGTGTATGACCCATCGTGACCCCATGGACAATGTTCCTCCAGGCCTTCCTGTCCTCTACCATCCCCTGGAGTCCATTTAATCTCACGCTGACTGCTTCAGTGACTCCATCCAGCCACCTCGTTCTCTGCCGTCCCCTTCTTCTTTTGCCCTTCATCGTTCCCAGCATTAGGCTCTTCTACAGGGAGTCCTTCCTTCTCATTAGGTGGCCAAAGCATTTGAGTTTCCTCTTCAGGATCTGGCCTTCTAAAGAGCAGTCAGGGTTGATCTCCTCTAGGACTGACCGGTTGGATCGCCTTGCAGTCCAAGGTACTCGCAGGAATCTTCTCCAGCACCAGAGTTCAGAGGCCTCAATTCTTTGGTGCTCAGCCTTTCTTATGATCCAACTTTCACAGCCATACATTGCAACTGGGAAAACCCAGTTTTTTTAGTACTGTTGTAATTTTGAATGGTTATTAAACACATGGTTGCAAGTTGAGGATTATCTATACTACATGCCCAGTGTTGCTTAAGCAGGGAGTTGGACTAGAAGACCTTGAAAGTCCCTTCCAACTTGATTATTCTGTTTTTCCATCAACAGGGAGGATCCAAGGAGCTATCCAAGGTACTGAAAGGGCAGCCCTATCCCGCATCAAACCTGGCCATCAAGTCACTAGACATCTCTTACCCATCTCAATTCGTAATCAGGAAAGCCATTGTCCCAACCACACCCATATAGCCTCTCTCAGAGAAGCCAATAAGGATTCTTGAATTCTGGGATAGTTCCTCCCACTTCACTGCAGAAGTGGTTCTCAACCACAGAAGATACTGTACAATCATAGGGCTGGAAGAGATCTCGAAGGTCTTCTGGTCCAACCCCCTGCTCAAGGTAGGAGACCTTCTACCATCCCAGTCACATAGTCTATTTTTGAAAATCTCTAGCAATGGAGCACCCACAACTCCAGGAGGCAAGTAATGGTACCCATTATCAGGAAATTTCTCCTTACTTTTAGGTAGGATCTCTGTTTAACAAGCTTCCATCCATTACTTCTTGACCTGCTTTGGAGAGCAAGTCTTTTCTCTGTGACAGTCACTCAAGTATTGGAAGACAGTTGTGTTTCCCCAATTCATTTCTTTGATAGACTGAACATACCTAGTTCCTTTAATCCAGTGTTTCTCAACCTTGGCTACTGGACCATGTGTGGACTTCAACTCCCAGAATTCCCCAGCCAATCCACACATCGTCCAGTGGCCAAGGTTGAGAAACACTGCTTTAATCGTTCATCCTATGATTTAGACTCCAGACCCCCTAACCATCTTTGTTGTTCTTCTCTGCATTCTTCCTTTTTTTTCACCAAAGTTTTTTATTTTTATTTCTCATAAAACATATATAAATGTACAATCTCTTTAACCATTCTTATCACACATATTCTCTTTTGGTTTCCCTGTTGGTTCATTCTTCATCCTAAAACTTTAAAATACATTCGGAGTTGCTCTTCTACCATTCCGAATTCCCTTCTTCCACAACAACTCTTCCTCTCCTTCTCCCCTCTTACCTTTCCCTCCCTTCTATTCTTTTCAACTTTCCTCCTCAACTTCCCCTTCCTTTCCCCCATTCCTCCCCTCTTCCTCTCTTTCTAACCCTTTCTCCTACTCTTATTTCCCCTCCCTTTTTTCCTCTCCTTTTTCCTTTCTTTTCTCTCTCTCTCTTTTCCTCCCTTCTCCTCTCTCCTTCCTACTTGTCCCGCTACTCCTCTCTCCCTTCCCTCTCCTTTGTTGTGTCCATTTTCAATTCAATATTTTATCAAGATGGTATTCAAGCAACTCCGATCTTATATTTACCCACATTTTCCTTTCAATTTCCCTTCTATTTTGCTGATTAGACATATATCATCGTTAACATGAGTCCTACAGAGATAGGGCAGCATACAAATTATATTAAATAAATAATAAATAAATAAACATACATTTATATAGTCCATCTTTTTTCATTTTTTTCTCTGCATTCTTTCTAGGGTCTCAATATCTTTTTGGTTTCATGGTGACCAGAACTGGATGCAATATTCCAAGTGTGACTTCACTAACATGGTATAAAGCGGTACCATCACTTCCCATGAACTTGATGTTCTCCCTCTGTTGGTGTATAGTAGTGGCCAAAATTGTGGAAAGCTTTTTGGGAAAAGTGCATTTTTGAGGTTTGATGGCTAATAACACCACTTTTTGGGGGAGTTTCAAGATAATCATATTCTGCTGCTGGAATGGCCTAGGAATAGCCCAGACCTTCATCCAATTGAAAATCTATGGAGCCGACTAAGGAAACTTGTTAGTCAGAAGCGACCCAGCAATAAAACCCACTTAATAGAAGCAATCTTTCAATCTTGGTTTCACATCACTGCAGAATTAAAAGACTTGGTTCACTCCATGGGACGATGTTGTAAGGCTGTAATTCATGCTAAAGGTTATCCAACTATTAACTGACATGGTGATCATTTTTGTATATCTCGTTTTTTCTACATGTTTAACTTTCCTTCTTTATACTGTAACTGCTATTCTAATAGCAAATCCTTCCTAAAAGTTATTGCATTACATTCGTGCTTAAATTATCTTTCCATTGATATATAATTTTAAGGTACTACTACTCCAAAAAAAGTGGTGTTATCAGCTAATTTTAGAAAATACACTTTTCTCAAAAGGTTTCCCAAAATTTTGGCCACAACTGTAAGCCCAAGATGACATTGGCTTTACTGGCAACTGCAGCTTATTCATCTCCAGCCATCAGCTTTCCCTGCAGGTCCCTTGGTAGACAAAAATAAAATCTCACCTTATGGACAAATTGTTCTACCCGTGTTTGCAGTCCCCAGACTTCAAATTTGACCGTCACCAGTTTGTAAGAGCACATGATGGGTTGTGTATGTTCCCGCCAGCCTTCCTGTAGTGGCCCGCGACCAGTCTTAGCTGAACAGAAGGACCGGAGATCCTATATAGCCAATAGGAAAAGAATATATAGAATTTTGATCACGGGGATGCTGTAACAGTCGTAAATGTGAAAAATGGTCATAAGTGTTCTGCCCCAGCTACGGACCCCAAAGAACGCAGCACACACAAAGACTGTACAAACCTTAGTTTACTAAATTAAATCAGTCTTTTTCAAACAAAGGCTGTTAATTAACATTCTTAACAGCCTACAAGAATCCAAAGAATAAATAATTGTAATTTTACTATGGTTGGCAGAAAGCCCAGAAGCAATTTGCAGGAAACTGATAAGAGAACTAAGATCAGGACGTGAAGGAGAGTGAACGAAGTTGTTCCCTGCAAATTGTCTCAGTCATCGCCCTTCCTTAAATAGGCTAGGGGAGTGGACAATTAGTCCCAAGCCTTACTCTCGAGGAGACCTCCTCCTAAGGAGCCACTCCTGCCTTTTGGCAGCTCTGCGCGCCTGTGCATCGACTATACGCACTTTTGTTGGCAGGGTGATGTCTCTGCTTTTTAGTATGCTGTCTAGATTTGCCATAGCTTTCCCCCCAGGAGCAAGCGTCTTTTAATTTCTTGGCTGCAGTCGACATCTGCGGTGATCTTGGAGCCCAGGAAAATAAAATCTGTCACTACTTCCATTTCTTCCCCATCTATTTGCCAGGAATTGAGAGGGCCGGATGCCATGATCTTAGACTTTTCTCCAAAGAGAAAACTTTGCCTCTTGATCTCCAGGAGACTCTACCCACCAAGCACCTAAGAGCAGCATTGTTGCAACCCCAGGAACAAGTAGATGGACAAGTGACCAGTTTGCAGACTGCCATGAACAGTCCTACAGCTAGAACTGAATTTGTCCAGGACTGCAGAAGCAGAGCAAGGTGAAGGTCTTCGTCCTGTCTCCCATGGTCCTTCCAACAGACCAGGGGTCAGCAACCTGCGGCTCTGGAGCTGCATGTGGCTCTTTCATCCCTCTGCTGGGGCTCCCTGTCTCTGTTTGGCTCCACAATTGATAGGGCTTTTGGTTAGGACAGGTAGAGGAAAAAGGAAGCTGCACTAGGAGGAGATTCTATGGAGGCGGAACAGGACTTCTGGCCGGCTCCAGAATTTAACGGGGGGCTTCCAGTTAGGACCTTTGTAGCTCTTTGAGTGTTTTAAGGTTGCCGACCCCTGCACCAGACCATTTACAGGAATGAGCAGTTGGGTTGGAGAAGCCAAAGCCACCCACCAACCATGGATAGTTACCCTCTCCAACAGGTTATTACCTCTAAGCTGCTGTAGTAGCGGTCTGGGATTTCATCAAAAACAATGTCCAAGAACATCACCTCATGGTTTCCCAACATTTTTTCCTTGAGAAATATCTGTGAGAGCAAAGGGAAAAAACATTGGACCTGTCAACTTGTCAGTGAGAGAAAACACAGATTCTCAGCTAACAAGGGATGGTAAGCTCAAGCAGGGCTGGCTAGGCTACGATGCCTACTTTCCTTGCTTGGCTTGTCATGAAGTTTCTATCCATCATCTTGCCTTCAGGTGATTCTCCAAAGCACCTGAAGGCCAGGCAAGAAGCAATGGATGGATACTAATCAAGGAAAGAACCAAGCTAGAACTAAGGAGAAATTTCCTGACAGTGAGAACAATTAATCAGTGGAACAGCTTGCCTTCAGAAGTTATGGGTGCTCCATCACTGGAGGTTTTCAAGAAAGGATTAGATAACCATTTGTCCGGAATGGAAGAGGGTTTCCTATTTAAGAGGTCAGACTAGAAGACCTCCAAGGTTCCTGCCAACTGTATTATTCTGTTGCACACTGCACGGTGGTGCAATAGTTAAGAGTGCAGTACTGCAGGCTACCTGTGCCGACTGCCGGATGCCTGCAATTTGGCAGTTCAAATCTCACCAGGCTCAAGGTGGACTCAGCCTTCTATTCTTCTTCCATTCAAGCTTCTTCTTAAGTACATTGGCTACAGAGCTAGCCAATCAGAATACACTATGATGCAATACAGCATTACAGTCTTAAAGCTATACAATACATTTTGACTGCAAACATGCATTGATGGTTTATATATATTGCCAACCCAACCAGTTAGGCAATAGTCATTTCCTAACAAGGACCCAGATTGTTGGGGGCAAGAGGCTGATTCTGTAAACTGCTTACAGAGGGCTGGAAAGCACTGTAAAGCGGTATATAAGTCTAAGTGCTATTGCCCTTCCTTCCTTCCTTCCTTCCATCCATGGTGCACAGTGGTTAGAATGCAGTATTGCAGGCTAACTCTGCCGACTGCCAGCAGTTCGATCCTGACCGGCTCAAGGTTGACTCAGCCTTCCAGCCTCCCGAGGTAGGTAAAATGAGGACCCAGATTGTTGGGGGCAATAGGCTGACTCTGTCAACTGCTTAGAGAAGGCTGTAAAAGCACTGTGAAGCGGTATATAAGTCTAAGTGCTATTGCTACTGCTATTGACACCCTCAAGTTCCTCTGAATCATAAGGTCTCTTCAGATGCTCTGCTCCCTTGCCCGAGTCCCTGATGGCAACAGTGATGAATCCCAGCTCGCCTTGACTCTTCTCATCTCGTCAGCAAGGCTCAATGGCACCTTGGCAAGTGACACTCAACTGTTCCTCAGGGTCTCTTCTCATAAACAAAGCCAGATGCAACTTCCTTCCCAGGGTGGGATGATAATTTAATGCAGTGTTTCTCAACCTTGGCAATTTGGACGATGTTTGGACATCAACTCCAGGATTCCCCAGCCAGGGGTGAGATTCCCCTGGTGGGGATTGTCCAAGCTGACATTTAGTCATCGATTCGAAGCATGGGTAACTCCCACCATGTCTGTCTATGGAGATTCTCAGTCATCCAGGTCATGGTATGTCCCAAAGGCGCTTTTTTCAAGAGGCAACTAGATTTCTTGGATGAAGAAGCTTGAAGAAGCTTCTTGGATGAGAAGCGAAACGTCTTCAAAGAAAAACCAGAAAGTCCAGTTGCCTCTTGAAAAAAAGCACCTTTGGGACCCCACCATGTCTACATTTAGGCCTGAAAATAGCTAGACAGGATGAAATGGGGCGCTGTTTCTAATTCTGTATGGGTCGCACTTACGTTGGTGCTATTTCCGCAATTATCTTCATACTTGGTCTCTATGTAGATAGAAAATTTGGGCAGAAACGAGCACTGTAAAAAGAAAGAGAAATGGAGAATGTGAGTAGACCCAGAGGATGAATGAATGGACGGTGCTGGAAAAAAGCAGACCCAGTGGCTAAGACGCTGAGCTTGTCGATCGAAAGGTCGGCAGTTCAGCGGTTCGAATCCCTAGTGCCGCGTAACGGGGTGAGCTCCAATTCCTTATCCCAGCTTCTGCCAACCTAGCAGTTCGAAAGCATGTACAAAATGCAAGTAGAAAAATAGAGACCACTTTTGGTGGGAAGATTACAGCGTTCCGTGCGCCTTTGGCACTGAGTCATGCTGGCCACATGACCACGGAGACGTCTTTAGACAGAGCTGGCTCTTCGGCTTTGAAACGGAGATGAGCACCGCCTCCTACAGTCGGGAACGACTAGCACATATGTGCAGGAAAAACCTTTACACACCCACATAAATAAATAAATATATATATATATATATATATGAATCGTCCTAAAGATGCGAGTTCCAGGTATAGTTATAGAAGAAGCAATAGACATCACGATCTCCGGAACGTTTAAAAGTTTAAAAAAATTTTATTTTAAAACTTGTGCTAAGCTTTTGTCAGATTTTATACTCTGACGAAGTCGGTAGGGGCCGACGAAAGCTTAGCACAAGTTTTAAAATAAATTTTTTTTAAACTTTTACATTTATCTCCTGGTAATTGGGCCAAAACCACCCAGATGGCTTCCATGTCAAAGGCAGGTCTAGAATTCCCCATCTCCTAGTGATTGGCCCAAAGTTACCCAGCTGGCTTTCATGGCTAAGGTGAGATTAGAACTCCCAGTCTCCCACTTTCCCACCCGCTGCCTTAACCACTAAACCAAATTGTCTGTCATCTGCTACATCCACATAAGGTGCTATTGACACTTTCCTGCCTATAAAGCTACCAATATTCCACCAAGAAACGAAAAGGAAGTGACGTGGTTTAAACATTTATTTATTTCACATAGTTAACGATAAATAGCATCTGCAAAAAAAAAAAATCCCATTCTGCCCCTTTTATAACATTGACAAATCGTCTGCAAATTTTCAAGTATTAAATATGAAACCATGAGGGTTAGAAACTCAGATCTTCCTTCGTTCTCAGGAAATGGACCTCTGCAGAAGCCTTCCAGACGTTTTTGCAAAGACTAATCTGCAACTCAGACAAACGAAGAGCCAACAACAGCCTAATCAAAGAACCACTAAGAGCACACCCACCAACACTGACAGGGCAACCACTGGTATCTCAATAGAGAGAAAAACCCCTTTCCCTTCTAGCACTGATGATGTTACCTAGTTGGGTTATGAAACATCTGAAAGTGTTCTGACCTAGGCTTCCCAAGAGCAGGAAGAAGACTCCTTGTCCCGACAAAAATCCCTTTTTATTAAGTGACTGTGAATTCCTCTCATTCACACCCAGCAAAGTCTTTCAAAGGAGAATTTACAGTCACAGACCTTATCTGGCTTGGAGAGCTGCCAGACCGATATCTTCAAAACCTGGCAAGGAGTCTCGGAGAGTCACAAACCAATTAGGTGAACTAATTGTCTCCTGCAAACTCCACTCCCCTTTCGCTCCTCTTTTATTCCCTCTGGGAGGGGCCATTCATCATCCACCTTGGCTTTACTCCTGAGTCAACCCTTGTTCTTTAGCTGTTCCCTTCGTCTGGCAATTCTGCACATGCACACACTGGGAACAGGCTCCAGCTGTTCCTCTGCCTTACTGATGTCCGACTCCGAAGGCAGCTGACAACTGTCAGATGGCCCTGGCTCCCTCTCTGCCTCCGATGCAGAGCCCTCATCAGAGCCTTCCCCAGACTCCAGGACTGGCCCATGTTCCTCCCCAACCTCCTCACTGTCCGAATCTGCTGCCAGCTCCACTGACTGCTGGCGGGCCACAACAGCAAGAAAATAACCAATCTCAGAGAGTACTGAATGCCTTGAAGTTACTCATGGTGTTCTTGAGTTCTCTCTTCTATTCTGCTAGAGAAGTAACCAAAAGTAGGAAGGCATCTTGGTACTTACTGTGTACTCTGCATCCGTTGTGAGACAATTCCAGGTATCCCAAGGTAGCAAAGGGGAGACAGAGAAAGAGACAAGGCTAAGGTTGGAGAGAAGGAAGAATTATCCATTACACATTTTCTGGGCAACTAAAGCCACCTCACGTTGTAACCCGGGGGTAGCCATGATGGTGTTTGGGTCAACTTCAAAGCTGTAAGAGCAATCAGATGGTTCTTGTGTCCAAATTTAGCAGGAAAATCCAATTGACGCTAAATAAAAGACGAAGGGAGTAGCTTGCTATACATCAGGGGCCTCCAACCTTGGCAACTTTAAGACTTGTGGACTTCAACTCCCAGAGTTCCTCAGTCAGCAAAGCTAATGTCGAGCGGAGCTACACCACCGGCCCGGGGGCGAGTACCATGGATATCCTGCGTGATAGGTTCGGGGAGGGCAGCTTCCGGGACGCTCCCTCCTGGCAGCCGTGGGCCCCTAGTGGAGAACCCTCCGAGATGTGGCAGGGCGGCGGAACCATGAGCGGTGGGTCTGGGGCCAGCAGACCCCGTCTAGCTAGTCCTAAACTAAACTAACGAATGTCTACTTTCTATTCCCTACAGGCAGACACCTGGTAGGGGGAGCCGCCTGTCGAGCGGCACAATGCACTCGACACCATGCTTCGGACTGCGGATCAGCGGTCCTAAGGGGTCGGGTGGCGGTAGGGCACGGGGTGCTGGTGAAGGGGTTAGGTTGCGACTAGGCATCCTTCTACACGGGTGTGCATACCGGGGTCGCGTAGGTGTAGGGAGGGTCTACAAGCAACACCGTGTCCATCGGAGGCCGGGGCGTCTGACGTCATTGCTGCGCGACCGGCATCAGTTTCCGCGGGGATTTAAAACGTCGGATTCTCCCAGCTGCGGATGCTTAGAGCTCAGCGCCAGCCCTATAAAGGGCTCGGATACCGGCTCCTAGTAGCCGCGTCTATGTTTGTGTCACATTCCGGTTTCCACCGTGTGCTGTAGACAATCATTAAACCAGGAGACTCCAAGCCCTAGCCTGTGTGTTTCTTGAGTCTTGGTGTTCCGGACCAGGGGAGGCCGAGACTTAAAGTTGCCAAGGTTGGAGACCCCTGCCATACATCTAAGATCTCAAAAGACTTGGTAAGTGATCTTTTAAGGTCTTAAGGATGGAGCAATTTGCAAAGGAGCGAAAGATTGAGTTGACTCAACACTTTCACTCAAGATAGACTACCTTTTTGCAGATTTTTTTTTTTTTAAATAAAGACTGTCCAAAGGTTTCTGCTAACCCTGGGAGGTAATTCAAACAAGAAGCACAATCAGGAGTGTAAGTAGTCCGCGACTTCCCACAGTTCATTTTGTGACTGTTCAAAGTTACGACGGCACTGGGGGAAAAAAAGACTTATGACCATTTTTCACACTTATGACCGTTGCAGCATCCCCATGGTCACGTGATCGAAATTCAGACACTTGGCAACTGACTCGTATTTATGACGGTTTCAGTGTCCCCGGGTCATGGGATCCCCTTTTGCGACCTTCTGACAAGCCAAGTCCATGGGGAAGGATGGATTCGCTTAACAGCTGTGTTACTAATTTAACAGCTAATGTGATTCACTTAATAACCGTGGCAAGAAAAGTCGTAAAATGGAGCAAAACTCAACAAATGTCTTACTAAGCCACGGAAATTTTGAGGCTCCATTGGACCACCTGTAATAGCTCTATCTCTATTGTAAGGTTGTAAGACTGAAAGTATTTTTCCCCCTGTTTTCCTTTCGCTCTCCAGAAAACCAGGAAGAATCCCTTCTGAAATAGATCTGATTAACCCTTTTTCGTTTTTGTGGGCTGAGATACCTTTTTAACACGCCAGTTCTCCAGTTTGCGGCTTTCTCTCCTGTCTGCCAAGGTCATTCTCACACACCATTAGGATTTCCTCCTTACCTGTGATGGTATACGGGTAATAGTTCCAGGCTTTCTCAGTGATATAGAAGATTCGTGGTGTTACTGCCCGAGCCCAGCTAGGCAATTTGCTGCAGAAGAACAGAGGAGAAGGCTAAATGGAAATCAAATCCCAAATTCAAGTCTATGTCCAAGTCTCCAAATTATTAAGATACAGTAGCGGCCAAAATTGTGGAAACCTTTTGGGAAAAGTGCATTTTTGAGGTTTGATGGCTAATAACACCACTTTTTTTTTATGGTATGTCTTTTATTTTATTTTTAAAATGATAAATAAATGCATGGCTGTCTAAACCCAACAGACAGTTTGCATATTGAATGATAATCAGTGTTTCTCTATTTGGAAAAGGGGTAACTTTTAACTGGGCAATTAGCTTTTAAGGTTACAGCATTTATCTAAGATGAAGATGACCTTGACTTTAACATGAAACCCACATCTCAGGAGAAAAGCTAAAAAATACATAATCAGACACAAAAATCATGTGCAACGTTCAGCTTCTCCATGTGATCAGTCTCAGCTAAAAGTCATGTTGGAAGTTCCGCTCTCCAACTAAATGTTTGAGTGGCATACTTTTCTTTCTTTCTTTTTTTTTTTGAAAAAAGTTTTATTTTAAATTAAAAAAATAAAATATAATCCTATTCCACTGCTGGAATGGCCTGGGAAGAGCCCAGATCTTAACCCAATTGAAAATCTATGGAGCTGACTAAAGAAACTTGTTAGTCAGAAGTGACCCAGCAATAAAACCCAATTAATAGAAGCCATCCTTCGATCTTGGTTTCACATGATAACAGCTGCAGAACTAAAAGACCTGGTTCACTCTATGGGAAGACTTTTTAAATAAAAAAGTAAAATGCGCAAGGAATTAAGCTGCTGAGGCTGGACCCAATGCTCTCAGACTGGAGAGAACCATTAGGTTAGCAGAGATCAGAGAGACAAATCTGTTGGATTGGGGAAGAGGAAAATGCCTAAAAATTAAACTCTAAAGCAGGAAATTGGAGGGATAATCTTCTGTGGGTCTATGGCTTCATTTGTGCCTGCAGTAGAGATTAAACTACCGTCAAGGATGCTGAGGAACTTAGAAACAGTTCAGAGAAGAACAAACTCTATGTTGAAGGATGTATGGATTAAGACCGATGAAGGACGATTAATGTTGCTGGAGATGTTTCATCTAAAGAAGAAAGAGCTAAGGGCAGACATGACAGTCTTTCAATGCCTGAAGGTAGGAATGGGATTGAAAAATTTCAGCAACCAGTTCGCTGCCCAGTTGCTGGGTGGGTGTGGCCATGGGGGTGTGGCCTACTCAGCCTCCTGCAACATGGCAAGGGGGGGCGTTTTTGCCCTCCCCAGGCTCTGGAGGCTTTCCTGGAGCCTCCAGGAGGGCAAAAATGGCCTCCCCGGGCTCCAGAGGCCTTCTGGAGACCGGAAACGGGTCTGTTTTCAAACTTCCGGTACTTCCGGTAGGCCCATTTTTCGCCTTCCCAGAGCCTCTGTGTGCATCCTGCACTTACCTGGCATCCAAAATGGGCTGCGTGGAGACTCATGGGAGGAGAGGGGCAGGGTGGACTGGGTCAGTCAGTCCTTAGAACAATCGGTTCAGTGAACCAGATTAAAATTAACATCCGGTTTTCCCGAACTGGTCTGAACCGGCTGAATCCCACCTCTGCATGAAGGAATGTCACAGGGAAAAAGGTACGGATTGATTCTCCACAAGGCCTGAGAGTAAGACAAGAACCAGTGGGTGGAAATTTTACAGAGGAAGACCCAAACTGGGAATAGGAAGAAATGTCATGGTGATGAGAAAGTCAGAAGGAATGGAACAGCCTCTCTCCTGTATTCATAGGGGCTCTGTCACTGGAGGTCTTCAAGCAAAGGATGGGCAGCAATTTATGTGGAAAGATCTGAGAAGGATGGAGGAGAAGACCTTCATGGTCCTTCCAATCCGATGGTCCTAATCCATGACTGTGATCTTCTACCAGGTGAGCCAGTTCATGCAGAAGAGGACAAAGAGTCTCAACAACCAAAGTCTGCAGACAAGTCAAGTCAAGAAGATGGAGAAAATGTTGACAAACAATGTAAATTAGACCAGCGGACACCAACTGGTGGTCTGTGAGAAAATTTTGGTGCTCCGCAAAAAAATTATTTGCATTTTTTTATATTGCACTAAATCAGGGTCCTCAAACTCCGGCCCCTGGTTTGGATACGTGCAATGAACATGTGTGTTGCTGCAGAGAGTCTCCCTCTTCAGGGTCTTTTTGTGTGGGTTGGAGGGGGGCAGATATTCTGATTTGGGGTCTGCTTCAGCCTCCTGGTGTGGGGTTTTGGGCGAAGGCTGGAGGGAAGTGCCACTGGTGGCAAAGAGCCAGAGGGCTTTGTTCCAGTGGGACTGCATCATGGCCTGGAACTGGCTGACCATCTCAGCCCACTGAGCCACCAGTCGTGGCCTTGCACTCCTGCAGGTCTTCCCTCTGCTTGGAAAGCCTATGCTCCTAGTCCTCAGTTTCTGCTGAGCCTCCTTCTCAGTCAGATCCAGTTTGAACTGAGCAGCTGTTTTGCCAATTCTTTCTCATGGTGAGCTGCTTAGCTCCAGGAACTACTTCCTGTTGGGGCCCTAAGGAGCCCAGGTAGGCAGGCGAGGAGTGGCTGGGAGGGGAGGGGCGAGTAGAGGCCGGTGAGATGCCCCTTGACGTGAGTCACATCAAGTTGGCCACACCCACCCAGTCACATGACCACCTAGCCACCCCTCACCCAGCCAGTCATTAGGAGATCATATTAGTGCTCCGCTGGATTTAAAATTATGAATTTAGCGGTCCCTGAGGTCCGAAAGGTTGGTGACCCCTGAATTAGACTACCAACTCGGTTTTATTCCACTTTTATTTTTGCAACTCCTGGAGGAGCAAATGTCCTGAATGAGAGCAGCCCCGATTTTCCTATTTCTCCCCTCCCGAATCCCAGAAGTATAAAATAGATGAGTTAAGCCTCTGATATTACAGTTCATTCTCACAGTTGGCTAGAAGAAACCTATCAGCAAAACTCTCACTGTTAGAAATAGAACAGATGAACAGAAGCAAGCTGTTCTGCTCGAAAGAGTGGGTGCTGCCACCTGGGTTAAGAAAGCAATGTTATGCAAGAAGGTTTGAGGATCTTCATTTTCATACACAGGACTGGTTTCTGAACCACAGCAATTGATGCCATTCTTGGATAATTCATTTCCACACCCTTCAATAAATACTATATATCCGTGATGGAGAACCTATGGCAGCGATGGCTAACCTTTTTGCCATCGTGTGCCAAAAGCGGGGGGAGTGCGGGGGGGGTCACACATGCGCGTGCCTACACCCATAATTCTATGTGCGTCGCCCCCGTGCATGTGTGTGCGCCCCCTCCGTGCTTCCCCTGCTTTTGGCACGCGATGACACGGTTGGCCCAGTAGGCCCGTTTTTCGCCTTCTCTAGACCCCAGAGCCTTTCTAGGAGCCTGGGGAGGGCAAAAACGGCCTTCCCCACCCCCACCCCCTCCGGAGGCCTTCCAGAGGCCAGAAATGGCCTGTTTGCTGACTTCCAGTGGGCCCAGAAGACCCGAAAACTGAGCTCGCATGCCCACTAATATGGCTTCGCGTGCCACCTGTGGCACGCGCGCCATAGTTTCGCCATCATGGACCTATGGCATGCGTGGCACACAGAGCCCCCTCTGTTGCCAGCTGCTTTTCTGCTTTCTGGCATGTTTTCGCGGGCGCCAGAGCACTGGAAAACGGCCAAAAAAATGGCCCAAAACCAGGCCGTTTTCCAGGCTGTTTTCTACCCAAAAAACGACCTGAAAAACATCCTGAAAATGGCCCCCAAAATGGCCAAAAGTGGCCAGAAAACAGGCATGCGGACACCAGCCAGCCGGTCTTTGGGTTTCTGGTGCTCCGGTGTGCGTGAAGACTAGCTGGCCGGCGCACATGCGGATGCCGGAAACCCAAAGACCAGCTGGCTGGCGTGTGCATGCCTGGTTTTTGGCCGTTTTTGGCCGTTTTTAGGGCCATTTTCAGGGTTAGAGTTAGGGTCAGGCCAGCCAAATGGTCTCTGGGTTTCCGGCACTCCAGAGTGCGTCCACGCATGTGCATGCGCTAGTGGTGGGTTTCAAACATTTTTACTACCGATTCTCTGGGTGTGGCTTGGTAGGCGTGACTTGGTGGACATAGCAGGGGAAGGATCCTGTAAAATCTCCATTCCCACCCCACTCCAGGGGAAGGATCCTGCAAAATCCCCATTTCCTCCTGATCAGCTGGAACTCGGGAGGCAGAGAATAGATGGGGGCAGGGCTAGTCAGAATTTTACTACTGGTTCTCTGAACTACTCAAAATTTCCGCTACCGGTTCTCCAGAACTGGTCAGAACCTGCTGAAACCCACCTCTGGCATGCACGCATGTTCCGGTTTGGGCACTTGGTGCTGAAAAGGTTCGCCATCATTGTTATATATAGTTTGTGACCCTCATCTAAGTGGTTCGTTCCTGCATATGGGCATATTGGACATCTCATCAGCTTAAGACACTTATTTTAGGGAATGTCTCTTCCCTCTTTCAAAAAAGAAGGAAAAATAAAAGCTCCATTCATTGATTGTGTGCCATCAAGTCAATGTAGACTCTTAGCAACCCCTATAGATAGAATTTCTCTAGGAAAATCTCTCCCCAAACTTAGTCTTCCTACATTGAAGGTCTTCCAATTCATTGCCATGGTAACCGAGTCTATCCACCTTCCTGCTGGTCTCCTCTTTCCTTCACATCTCCACATTAATGCCTGCATAATGTCCAGAGAATGACAATTTGGTGATTTGTGCCTTGGGTAAGAACACTGGGTTGAGTTGTGCAATGGGCTATTTGTTTGTTTTCTTGGTTGCCCATGGTCTTCCCCATCAAAGCATCAATGCTCTTCTTGTCCTGCTTCTTTAAAGTCCAACTTTCACTTCCTGAGAACCAGTCTGGCCTAGTGGTTAAGGCACCAGGCTAGAAACTGGGAGAGACTGTGAGTTCTAGTCCAATCTAGGGGTGAGTAGAGGGGCGAGTAGAGGCTGGCAAGGCACCCCTTGACGTGA